TATGGCCCCGGTTATGCACAGTATATATGTGACTGTATGAAATGAAATTGGAAAAATAAAAACACATTTACAACAACAAAGAAGATGTTGGAACTTTGGAAAAAGTGCAGAGAAGAGGAACGAAGACGATTAGAGGCCTGGAGACTAAAACATATGAAGAATGGTTGCAGGATTTCGATTTGGCCAGTCTAGACCAAAGGGGGGGGGGGGCTGATAGCAGCCTTCCAGTATTTGAGGGGCTGCCCCAAAGAGGAAGGGGGGTTAACTTGTTCTCCAAAGCACCAGAAGGCAGAACAAGAAGCAACGGATGGAAACTAACCAAGGAGAGAATCAACCTGGAATTAAGGAGAAACTTCCTAACAGTGAGGACAATTAGTCAGTGGGATGACTTGCCTTCAGAAGTTGAGGGTGCTCCACCATTGGAGGTTTTCAAGAAGACATTGGACAAGCACTTGTCTGAAATAGCATGGGGTCTCCTGCTTGAGCAGGGGGCTGGACTAGAAGACCTCCAAGGTCCCTTCCAGCTCTATTCCGAATTGAATTGTTCTGCTGCACTTACAGCCTTTCAAAAGCACTCCCTAATCCTCCAAGGTTTGGTTTAATTACCCACGCAGATCCACCCAGATCAGCTGCTTCTCGTACGAGTCTCATTCCTACACAAGCGTACAATTAAATCCAAATAAAATCTCACCATAAATAGCAGAGAAAAAAGAAAAAAAAATGTATCCCAGCCTTTGTTTTCTGCACAAACAGCCACAATTCCACTTAATCCTTTGTTCCCACTGACTCGGGAGGCGGGATCTGGATTTAATTGCAAAAATGGGTTAAGCGGATTACCCTTCCGCAAAGCGGCTGATTGGGCTAGATCTGGGTCTTCCCTTGCAGCAATCTTGGTGTGATTAACTGATTATCTCTCTTTTAGATGTCGGTTTCCATCAGAGAGAAGCACTTTTGGAAAAGTGGGTCTGTCTATTTTAATGAAAAGAAGAACTAGGGGTGACATGATAGCAACTTCCACAGTGGCGAAATTCATTTTCTTTTAACTACCCGCTCTGTGGGCGTGGCTTGATGGGTATGGTGTGGCTTGGTGGGCGTGGCAGGGAAAGGATAATGCAAAATCTCCATTCTGTCCCCACTCTGGAGCCAGCCAGAGGTGGCTTTTGCCGGTTCTCCGAACTATTCAAAATTTCCACTACTGGTTCTCCAAACTACTCAAAATTTCCGCTACCGGTCCTCCGAACTACTCAAAATTTCTGCTACCAGTTCTCCGAACTATTCAAAATTTCCACTACTGGTTCTCCAAACTACTCAAAATTTCCACTACTGGTTCTCCAAACTACTCAAAATTTCCGCTACCGGTCCTCCGAACTACTCAAAATTTCTGCTACCAGTTCTCCG